CTTAGAAGCCATGAATTCACATCATGAATTGGATAGTGAGGCCATCGGCCCCTACTGCGCGTTTTCGTCATGCGCTATCCGTGGTACCACATGCCCGTGACAGTCCACAAGCTGCTGATACACGGCGCGATCATCGTGGAGAAGTCACTCCAGCCTGTGGGAGCTCTCAGCGAAGAAGCTCAGGAAGCCAACAACAAGCTATTCAAGAATCTCAGGCAGTTTCACGCAATGAAGAAGGATCGTGAGACCACGAATCGCGATGTCTTCCACAGGATGATGGCTAACTCAGATCCTTTCCAGAACACTGTACGGAAGGAACCATCCACACAGGATATGGACATTCACGAAGATGTGAAGCGGCTTCTCAAAGCCGAATAATGATGTATGATAGGCTATTCTCGTTGGATGATTCCTCCTCTGCAGCCGCGCCGAGTTCAAAGTGCTTCGTTGGCGCGAAGTTCGGATGGAGGCACAGCCTAGTGTCTTCTCGTCTTCTCAAAGAGCATCCTATGTGGAATGAACGGATTCTTGCGGAACAAAGCGTGAAATTATCAATATTTCAATGGAGATTGTGGTTTTTGGACCGTTTCATTCCCGCTGAGGAGGTCTCCGGCAAGGTCTGTGAGCTTGGGAGAATGCGGACGACTCGGGAGCATCACTTGAGACCATTGGTGCCAATAGGAGCCGTAAAGGGCGGCACCTTCAGATGGGAAAGCTCGGAAAATATGGAAATTTCGGAATGTTTTTATTTTTAAAGGTATTCGTTGTGGCTGGATGGTTCCAATAGTACTCACTTATGTGAGTTGGGTCTATTGAGCGCGGGTAAGGCTAGTTTCTTCGAGAAAAAAATTCTCGCCTGTATACTCAAACGGCACTTTTACAAATCGGCCTGTAGCTCCTCAACGAAGCGTCCTAGAGTGAAACGCCTAGCAAACGGAAGATGCGGGATCGGGAGAGCTTTCCAACGCCATCAAGCAGTCCGAAATCCATTCAGCCGTTTAGCCGCAATCGTCGCTTTAAGGGGAAATTTTCGATTTTCGGAAAGAAGGAGCCGAGGCTCAGAGTTGCCAATATGCTCAAAAGTTGCCTATCCGTCCACAGAACTCCCAAAAAAATTTCAGGGACATCGGCCCAGCCGTTCAAAAGTTATGAATTTCCGTGGAAATCTACCACTGTGCAGCGTCTCGCAGAATCGTCAGGATGGTCTCATTTAAGCGACCCGACAAAAGTAAAGTCCCCGGCGAACAATGACCACTCAACGCTCGCAATATCCGTGGGATTTCCTATTCAAAAGCTGATCTACACCGTTCAACCCGAGCGAAGCATTTCGAGGCTCGATGACTCTATGAGTTGACCTTCCCATGACATGACGAGATTCTTCGGTCCGGGGATGACTCTGAGCGTGACCCATCAAATCCCATCCCATCAAATCCAATGTCGGTGGTGTGAAAAGAAGGTGTCGAGCTGCCGGGGCTCGACGAACCACTCCTGAGTTTATATGTCAATGAAGGCCGAACGTCAGATACGATTTCGCACCCATCACCGTTGCGCTGGTCTGCGCTCGGTTTCCTAGACGGGGAGAATCCTGTATCTCGGGGAGCAGGATGACAGTATCTCGGCGGCTGCAGGAAGAAGCGAGTCCAAGCGCTTGGATTTAGCAGCGGACTATTTCTCGACAACGGAAAGCAAGCGATTAATCTCGACGACTGAATTCGACAGAGCCATACCATCACCGCGCAGCGCAATGTTGAGCTGTGACGGATCTTTACGCTGTGATCTCTCGAAAGCGACGCTGCGGTCGACACCTTTTTAGAAAAGAGTGGACAAACTTCCCAACGAAGGATGAATATCGGTGTTCGGTGCAGTGACTTCCTAGTGGTGCTCTTGCTTCTGCTGGATGGATTCGTATCGGCGGGTTGGTCGGGGACGATCTTTCCTTATGCTCCGAGGGAAAGAGAAACACAGTTCAAGCTCGAACTTGGAGCTATTCTCGACTATTTATCTAAGGAACTTGTGAGACCTACCACAGACAGCGTATCGAAGTGGACGAACGTTACACGAGTGGGGATCGGCGAAGGCATCTACACGTTCCAGAAGAAGGGATCGCAGTGGACTTTCAAAGGTTTCAATGGAGGACCTGTTCCTCTCTTCGGCAACCCTCCGGATTCCTTCGAGCTTCTGAAATCCCTGAAGTTCTTCGGCCTCGATGCAATTCTTTTCAATGTGAAGGGGATCGGGACGAGCTTAATCGACTCAACTTATACGGCACCATACCCACGAGTTTTGATAGAGTTCACGAACCGCAATGACTCGCAAGAGATCGTTATGGGAAACTTTTCAACCAAAATGCGATTGATCGATCGGAAGTGGGACCCATTCTTCGGAGGGCACCTGGATTTCGTGAGGTGGTGGAGCTGTGATCCGTCGGGGCCTCGATGAGGACGTTCAGGAGTTGATGGCCGAGGTGGCATGGTTCACAGCATTCCAGATGGATGTATATATAGATCCGTATCGTGATCGCATTCGATGGTGCGCTTACTTGGAGAGCCAACAGGGATCGGCACCGGCTGTATAAATGAAAAATCGAAGAAATCGAAAGTCAAGGCGAATGTGCAGTAGCGAAAAAGTCGAGATTCTGCGGATAGCGTTCTTCGGCCTGTCCCCGACGATGAGGCCTGGGACTGTTCGGGGGCGGGTTCAACTTACGAATTCATCAGACTTTCGTGTCAAAGACCAGACACAGCGGCACCGGAAGAGCTTCCCGACGAATTGATTGTAAATCGTCGGAGCCATCTTTCCAAGGTTGGAGTTCCCAACAGAATACTTGAAGAAACTAATCTCCCAGTGATAGAGGACTACCTGAGCGTACTCAAGTTGAGTCATACATCCTCTCAGATCTCCGATCTCCGATACATCGCCGAGGACTGAAGCTCAGAGGTTTCAATCTAAATCGAGGGAAGTTCCGTTGACCAACTTTGGAACAGAGTTGGTAGTCTAGTTATAAGACGGAACGAAAATCCGAGGGACGTTATGATCGGAATACCTTTGGGGGTTCAAGCGGGAACGGTCGAAGTGGAAATATATCCCGGTTTCAATTATCCTTCACAAAAAGTCTTTATTGAGTGATGTTCTCGAGTGTGTACAACGTAACGAATTCTCTCACGTGAGACCCTTGCAGCGTATCTAGCGCACGTTGGTACAAGAGGCCTGACTTCGCTGGATTCCCAGAGTGTTGTTCCCAGCGGATGTAGGTCACCCATAGTTCTGTGGAGAGAGCGAACATGTCAAAAACTCCAAATAAAGGGAGAATGTGTGAAATACCCGCCCATCCTGGGTCAGATGGATCGTCACCTCCATTCTCTTCTCCGAGTTCATGGACAGCTTCTTCGAAGATGCGTCGGACGGTAGGTCTGTGGTCACAGAAGAATTGCAAGAATTTCTCGTAGATTCCCAAATTCAGAGGCCGCAGTGTGAGCAGCTTTTCCAATAGCTTCAGAGCTTGGGTTCGATCGCCCTGATCCAGAGTTCGAGTGACTAGGATTTCCTTGACGTACTCCCCGATCTTGCCAGGTTTCAGCAGTCCCCTCTGGAAACGATCGGGAAAAGAATCATCGTCCACTCTCTATCCAATACGCGATTTTCGATGCACCCCGATTCATTGGAGGAATACTCGAGTGCACACATCCCGTCCTGGCGATGCACTGAATTCCAATGGGTAGCGATGGGCAGCTTGGATGTCAACATACCTCGAGAACTTTTCCGAGTCGATCCTGGTCATGTTCCTGGCAATGACGGATGACGAGTTTCCAGAGATGCAAAACGTCCTCTTTGCTTGCGCAAGACATCTCAGCCCGCTCGAACAGATGCCACACTTTCTCCGAATCTAGAGGGGTTAATGTTCAGTATTTGCACAAGCTGATCGCTGATTGAGGGCGAATATTCTGAAACGCTCATGATTTGAAATCGCGAAGAAAAGTGACTGTCACCAACCCTTGGTCCGCTCGCATTCCAACGCGAGGAGGAGTGACCACGCCTCCACATCGTTCGGGTAGCGGGACGCAGCGGATTCTGCATAAGCGGTGTCCTGCGTCAGGCGGACACGCTCCAGGGCAAGATCTCTTCCTAGGAGGCTTCCACACCTTTCCATGAGGCTCAGAGCTTTCTCGACATAGTTTGGCTTCGACGTCACCTCAGCTCTTCTCAGAACAAACTTGATGTACTCCTCCCACATGGCGCTCACATTCGAACACGACACGAGGGCTTTCTCAAAAACCTCGAAGCATTCTTTCACTGTGGCTTTGCTAATAGCTCTGTAAGTCCAAAGCAAGGCCTCATCCGATTCTTTGAACGCTTCCTCGACTCTGTGAAAATACGAAGAAGCATTGTATGAGCATCTCCTCCCTGGGTGACTTATGGAAACTCAAGTTGAGTATGAATTTCGAGGGACCAGTGAGCTCACATGGTGTCCAAGCGTGCTCGGATTTTTTCAGTGCCATCGACGGTCTTGAGTATTCTCAGCATCTCGATCGCGAGACGCGCCTTCGGCACCTGTTCGATCGCATTAGAAAAAACGATGATCACGATCTCACCATCCAAGATGGCATCCCGCGCCGATTCGTTGTCTAGTTCTGCAATTTGGAGAAATTTTCTTGCTGACAGTCGGATATCGACCCTCGTGCCTGTTGGACCTCGCACACAGATCAGCCGACGGGGAACTTTCCGAGAGCATACCAACCTAAAACCTCCTGACGTTTGAGGAGCTTCTCCCAATAGTGCAGCTCTAGTCGAAAATATTCTTTCCACATCGCCTCGTCTTTCGGCAGAAATCTCAAGCCTCGCTGCAGCGTCTTGCGAGCGACATCCGTTTCTCCCAAGTCCTCAAGCTGGAACTTCGTGCAAGCGATCCACGTCTCCGATTTCTTCGGGTGGAGTTGCAGCAGCCGCGTGAACACCTCGGAAGCTTGCGACTTCCATCCCTGCAATTGTTGGTCTGCTTTAATCGACGTCAAACCCGAATGGCTCCATGAATCATCGTGAATAGGCGTGTGACCTTCCATACTCACAACTAACTTGCAGAACTCAATGTGTGAGAACCAGAGCGAGATATCGCCGGCGAATTTATATTCCGCTTTCTGGAAGAAAAAACCGATTGATTTCCACCTCGAGTAGCATTTCCTTGAATTTCGGCGACAAACTAATGATGGAAGGAATACCCACTCTGAAGAGCAGATCGATTCTCCTCGTGATTGCATGTTCGATTTCGCATTTTTTGTGCGCAATCTTCATTCTATGGCGTCGCTTCTGGATGAGCTGATAGAGCGAAATTTCATAATTGATGTAGAGGATAAAATCAGCGCGATCTTTGACGAATCTCCGGAGACGATATTCGAAGTGCTTCCTGCGCTTGACAATCGCCCTGGAAGTAGTACAGCCCGATTTCGCACAAATCTTCAAATCGTGAACGAGAAGGGAGGTCACCGAGGGAACAGAGCTCCCATACTACACTTGGGGGGCCCTCCCCGCGCTCAATGCGGTCTTCGAGCTTTTTAACATGCTAATTCTGACAGCCGCTATTCTCCGAGGTGAACTCACTTTGTCTCGGGACGGTCGAAGAGAGAAATCCGCTCCAACTGTTCTAACTCATCGAGGCCCTGCTCCACATTCCGCAGAGCGATCTCAGCCATCGCTAGAGTCTATCTCGACTCCGAATTCAATCTAGAGTTTCATAGAACTCGAAGAAAAACAGTAATGGAACAGCACTATCTATTCTCGCGGCCACGTGCTGTTCAAAACAATTCCTAGAGGCGCCCATGTCGCCAGGGGAGAGGGTTAAACGGCGCGGAAATTCGATCCACTCTTGCAAGGCTACCGCGGGCAATCTCGGATGTGCCACTTCGGGAAGCCACTTCGTAAGGATCGATATTAAAACCGCGAGCACTTGAACGCTTCGGGATTGCTCTCTTCGTCAAACTGCATTCACGTTGACAGCTGAGAACCGTTCCGATGAAGGAAAGCACCTCGTCTCCGAGCGGCGGGAGAGGACTCGCTCCGAAGCATTAACAATGCCAGGACTCTCAGACTATCCGTATCCAAATCGAATGGAGCGGAGCGAAGAGATTTACCATGGTACAGGGTATGGAGAATAAGGTAGTCCGCGATGGCGCCCTGGGGAACCTCTTGGTTCCCCCGCAGGAAAGAACGATTCTGGGTTTCAGCGAGTTTGGAAGCGGTCGTTGGAAACGAGTGAGCGACCTCCCGCTCGATACAGCGTCCGAGTGGAATAAATCCCTTCATGCAGCTCTGCTGAAGGTCAGCAAATCGCTCTCATCACTCGGCAATCCGTGGTTCAAACATCGAGAATAGGGAGATCTCCGAAGCAAGGTGTCGTCGCCAGAAGAGCGGCTCAGAACAGGTTGCTTTTCGAAAACCTATCAGGTACCTTGGAAGAATGCGACATTGACCGTTCGACTTTCGCGAGGAACTCTACGTCCCAGTGACCTACATTCCGCTGCGAGTCTGACGTATACATGACTCGCTCGAAAACTGCAGATTCCCACTCAGGGGGCAAATCTCCGAAGCGTAAGGAACGCCGCTTGTTTCGCGGACTCCCGCAAAGGAGGACTCTCATCCGGCCGAGCGAATCTCTTCCGATAGGCAGGATCGGCTGAGTTTCCGGATGAATCCCGGAAACCACTCCCAGGAGCACGGCTCGACGGCAGATGGATGCGTCTGCCTTGGCACTGCTTGATTCTCGCGAATTCGTACGCCATCGTACCAGCGAATCAGCGATGTTGTGTGAGCGCGTGCCTGAGCCGAAAGCTACGTGAGGGCCGAGAAACGAGCCGAGCGAGTCATCCAGGCTGGTTGTTAGCGCGCGCTCTCTCACGCGACCTTGAATAGAGCAACAACCCACCCGAGTGACCGACCGGCTGAGCTAAGGCTCATCCGGAGCTGCACAGACACGCCAGCAGCGTACGTTTTGAGAAATTCAGGACTATCCGGTCTCCGCTGGTCATCAACAGAGGGTCCAGCCACTCTGCTGCGGTTCGGGCTACTGGCAGTGCCAGCCCGATCAGGATCATCAATCATCGAGATCGTGCAAACAGATTTATGATCGAGTCATATAGATGTATCCGTGCTTCGACTCATGAATGGTATAAACTGTGAATGGAAACCGGTCAACATTCCGGGTGAGTATATCCCTACGCTCGGAAATTCCCCGATTAGTTTATCCATTGTGCGGAGAAATGTTGACATCGACTAGACAGTCGGGTGAATGCAAAGATTCCGTCGAAAATAATTTGTCGGGTCGAGTCGGTGTAAACCGCCAGGACACTGCGGAGGTACTCATCGAGTGACGGTGCTTTCTTGTACAGTCCGCCCGAGGGAAACTCCGATTCCTTGTTTGACGCTCCTCCTCCTCATGTTTACTCTTAGCTGCTGTCAATGACCGAATACAAAGGGCTCTGTAAACGACCCTATCAACCTGCGGCGAAGGTTCGTCAAATTGAAAGAGCCTGAATGACCATCGTCGAAAGCAGAAGAGAGATTCTGGGAGCAGAGAAAGCACCAGGACTCGTCTCGCTTTTGAAAACGGGTAGAGTCGATGAGTTCCTCGACTTTTGCCCTCTCATTGAGGGAGAACCTACACTCGACAAATGAATCAATCGCGCCCTCTGGGGGTTCAGACGTCGAGAATTCACTCCTTCCCGCGCTCCGGAAGACGGCGATTGGATTCCTCGAAAAGATGAGATGTTTTCAGCTACTTACAATATACCGCCTACCGTTCTTACACGTATCGCACTGATCGAGCTTCCACAACTGTCTACCATGCTGCTCAGAACTGATGAAACTCCGAGCCGAGAACGGCAGCGGAGAAAGACGCTCTGGCTGTTCCTTGAGACTTTTTTCCTCCCTTCTTCTCGCCTATGAAAACGTCAGCATCTGGCCGAGACTTGCTGCCAGAGAATCATACCTGTTAATCACGACCCTTGGTTGGCTAAGATGGACTCTGCCATGGAGAACGTCTACCTACGTATCATTGTATGCATTCAATCACTAGCCGGTATGACAAAAACTTCGATCTCCTCGAGGGGTCCTCTCCGGCTACCCGAATCCGGATTCCCGATATAAGGTCGACGAGATAATCCCTGAATGGAACCGCTCCAGAGATTCTGCTCCGGAATATCGAAGGTCAGGATTGTTTGACTTCGAGAACGACAGTAAGGGAGCAAGAAGGGAGCGCTACCAGAAAAGACCGCCAAGAATCGGTCTGATGTACCTACGTCTATTTCATGCCGGAATATCATCAAGCCTGACCGACCGATTTTTCCGAGAATGAGAATCTCGGATTCTGTTTTGGCGATCGAGGGAGCGCGATATCGTTCCTCCTCATGGGGATCGAGATAGTTCGAGACTAGTCCCTTGCTCTAGTTCATATTTTGTGGAGCCGTATTCGGCTCCATCATCGGAGCAGAGGAGAGCCATCAGTAGATCAAGGGCTAATTTTCAGCCCTTCCTTGATGGACCCGCGATCCGGTACGCTCAAACACCTGATCTCGACAGCCTACAAGGCGCGAATCCAAGCCAGCGTGACCTTATTATTGTCAAATAAGGAGCCAGCCGCGATAAGCACTGGGCTTCTCCGAGCTGCAGGAAACCTGTCACGAGCCACTTCTAGCTGAGTAGAACTACGTACTGGCCGCCGTACCGACGATAAATTCAGCATTCTACCTCCTACTGTAATCTGGATCGTTTTCTGATTGTTCGGATCGCAAACTGAATGCATGTGGCGCGGGAGGCATTGTTCGTTGTGATCATATTGATGCCTCCAAGGTTGCAGTCGGAACGTTCGATCGTAGGTCACACTTGAGAGGAGCGGGCAGCAGCATCAAGAATCGTAAGTGAAGTTCTGGAAGCTTAGAATGCATTGAGCACCGACCAGTTTCGAAATTCAGCCGCGGGCTAGCTCATGTCCGGTCTGCTCGCTCGCTCGCTCGCTCGTTCGCTTCCTGGTCCGCTTCCGAGGGCTGTCCGATACGATGGACTCCCTGCCCTGTCCTCGTCACATTCGCATACGATGAGTTTGTACTCCTGCCCAAGCACTATGATGTAAGGTCAGTTGAAACCGAGAGTTGTGCTCACTCATAAGCGCAGCACCAATGGGAGATATGCAAGCGTCATGTAGTCTGCGGATGTCATTGAGAGCTAAGAATGTTCTGAGCACGAATAGCGTCGACTGCCACTGCTCTTGGAACAGTCGACCGTGTGGTGGAGCAGCCAACTGGTGATCAGTTCGGCGGCAGGCTGGAAGGCAAGCTAGATTTTGCTTTAGAGTCCTTTCCCGCTTTGTGACTGCTCGCGCCGTGGCATGCTTCAGGACGACAGGTCGCTTTATGACCACGGCGTCGTTACTGAGGTGTTCCATTTGGAGAATGTTTCGACCTAATAAGCGCTGGTGAGCTCTGACAGATGTGGCCTGCACCACATGTAAGGCAGTACGTGAAGTTCCAAAGCGTGTTCTCGGTCGTCTTCCTGAATATTCGACGAGTGGAGTTCGTCTCCCATGATTGTGTATCTCGAGGATAATCAGTTGAGCGGTGGTGATTTTACCTGGAGTACAAGGCTCGGAGGAGTTCCTAGGAGGTGCTGTCGACTCCCGTCACCTTGCCGACAAGGGCGGCCTCCCCCGATACCGTTGGTGATTGAGATTGCCCGATTCGGAACGGTGGCGACCTCGAATCGAGCGTCGAGATCGTCTTTCTATGCTTGAAATTCCAGAGAATGCGAGGAATGAAAGCACGGTCGTCATGATTTCGCATCGAAGTTCAGCTTACCAGACGTCATCGGAGGAGCAAGATTCCAAAGCTCAATTCTGACGATGCTTCTCTCGATAAAGATTTAATTCGGATCGAACCACTGAAATTCGCCATTCCCAGCGTGCTCAAAACAACGAAGTCGAGATTGCGGCAGGTGGCCATGCGGAAAACAATGGGACATGAAAGCTCTGAGCTCGAACAGACACGGATGAATCTGTTCGGCTCTTGACGCACCTAATTTCATTGGCGAGCGCGCGGAAACTCCGATGCCGCTTTTGGTCTCCTATGGTGAATTAGGCAGAATTCGGTCAACCTCAACAATCATTCGCATCGCTTCCGACAGTCCGGCTATAGTCTGCTCGAAAGATGGTATCGGTGCAGTGCGTTTCCACAAGGCGAGTTCTATCATTCGAATGGCATACTTCTCTGAGAATTGCTTTCATGCATTGGGAGCGAGACGTCCCGTCCCGCATGCTTAGCCGCGATCTCGGACCCGGTAGTCCAGGATTCGAGCACGTGGGCTAGAAAAATACCTACCTTGGGAAAATCCTTGCTCCTCGCTCTCGTGTCAGCGGTAGAGATATATGGGGATTATGGGATGAGCACGCGCTTCGATCATCTCGGCGTGGAAAAGTTCTGCTTTGACTTTCCGTCCTGGCCGACTGGCCCCGTGCGTCGGAATCATTGAGCGTGTCCGATGTACGTATTTCCATCGCTTCCCCCTGCGTGACGCAAGATACATTTGCAGCTGAGAAGTTTAACTCGATTTTCAAGGCATTGGAACTCACGAAGTATGGGGAGTGAATGACGCTTGCCTCGTCACGACTCACGAGTAGAATAGTTTTCCTTCCATATCCCATGATGTGATTAAACGAGTGTATTTATGACGGGCTGTGGAAGTTGCAAAGACTGCTTATGCGTGGGAAAAGCGTATCACAGCTACAACTTCAGAAACGCGATTATATTGATATAGTTTTCAATGAGCCCATAACCTCCGCGTTCCGAAATGGATAATTGGCTGAGGATCATCGTTCCCGCGATGGAAGCCGAGAAACAGCGGCTCCGCAAAGAGATCGGGGTGCCTTCGATGACGCGGCGATCTCGGAGCTTGGTCGCGACATCTCGACTGGAAAACGAGAGAACCGGAATCGGTGGAAACCCGACATCAGCTGTAACTTCTACTGAGAGGCTAATCCCCTTCCCCCACAACGGCGTCCTGGAATTATTAGAGTCGACTGTTCGACAACTGTTGAACAGGCGCATCGATGAAGCTCCAGTCCTAACTTCCTTAAATTCTTTCCAGCAATGGGTGATTCAAGCGATCCTTTGGTAGATCACTATGTCTTTTTGGATATTAATTTCCACCATGGCATTATCTTTAGTCCCGAACGCTGTACAGGGCGCATCAACTCCACTGGTGAGCATCCCGAAACCCGACACAATATCGTATTAGATGTAAAATGTTGATCACAACGAGTTGTATCGTTCCTCCGCGCAGAACTTAGTCCAGAAGCTCGCGCGAAACTCTACGATTGTCTTCAATTACGCGATCTTTGTGAATCCCGAAATGTATATATCCAAGGCGAGAGCGCCGGGGCACTCAGAGCTGGATTCACGCCTTCCTCAGTGATTTCTATTATTCATCACAGGCCGATTCTCATCCGACATTTTTTCTACAGCTCGTACGAAGAATTGTTCCTCTCCCTGTCAGAGCCTCCTCCTTCCTGGAATTAATTCTTCTCCCTGGATCTTGCAGAGCTGCCCCCAAAGCATGGAGCTCAGCTTGAATCCAGCACAAAAAGCTTATGAATTCAACCAAAAGTCGAAAACGATGACCTGCGCCTTCGTCGACCTGTCGGGGGAAGGCAGTGTATCCGGTTCACGGAGGCTGGTTGTGCGGAATCATGTGATAGGATCCGAAGTCGCTTCTAAAACACTTCATCAATCCCGAAGAGCTACAATCAAGTGAGTCAGAGCTCCGGCTTCTCCAAAAGGTCGATTCGGTCATTTGCGTTCGGAGGGGAGCATTGATTTTGTGCTCGTGAAATTCCCAGAGAATTTCTCGTTCTTGCAGGTTCGAAATTAGAAACATACAATCTTCCACCACTTTTTCTTGTGAGTTGTGGGATGAGAACGACTTAGTGATCTGCCGGGCTCTAGCACAGGTGAGGCTCCGACCCAAACTGATTCCCGAGAGGAGCCTCCTCGATCTTCATTCGCCGAACGCCGTGCCCATCAGGCCGAAGTATCAGCGTTTCTCATTCCTCTCTGCGATTACAGGTATCTGTATTCATCAATTCGCCTGTGAGCTGCTCATCGAACAAAGACTGCTGGGGTTACGGTCGGAATCTCCTTTGTGATGAAAAAGGAACTCGGAGGTGCATGTGCGCCATGAAGACTGCGCGGGCCATGGGTGCGTAGCCGATATGTACGGAAGCAGATTTCGTTCCGGTGCGTTTCCGTACGCACTGAGTCTGCAAACGTATGCTGACCTTGATTTTCACCCCAATGATTTCAGAGAGCCCTCTTTGCATCGAAGTGGTCGTGGAAGAAAAGTGTAATCAACTGAGTTGTGAGGAGAACGAAGCGGATTGCGTCTGTATGAGGGACGATGCGCTCGTTCTGAAACAAACTAGATATACCCCTTACAGCCGCATGAATGCTATCTCGACGAACGATATCGTAACTGTATTCGATGGGAATCAGACAGAGAGATTCCTCCCTTGGAAACGTGACGAGTGAGTGATCTCAAGAGGGGATTGAGTACGGACATTGATCCTGCTAGTATTCGATTCCTTAGTTGTGCAATTTAATTTCACAGATGCCTCCGATGTCTCCGAGTTTCAAACGGTCTCCAAAACCTACAAATAGGTCTCTTCCTCGTCGGGTTGGTCTTGGCGTTCACGGCGGTGACCTTGATGGCTATCGTCATCCGGAAGATGTGGCTTTACTACAGGATACCCCCGGACCTACTCGAGGCGAGCCGGGACCTCGAGAGAGAAACGATCGAAAGGGAGGCTGAGCTCATGGCTCAGAGAGATAAGCCCCCAAGCTACGTAGAGGTATCTGCCTGTTCGAATCTGCTGATGGAAGAGCCTTATCAATTGATACAGCGAATTCGCTGTACTTTCTAAACCAAGAGAATGTGGAGTATAAGCTATTTCGAATTTCGAAGGTGATGGAATATGATCTCCGCATCAGCGGCTACCCGCCTCCAGCCTATGAGGAATCGGCCAGCCCAGTACGAGGAAGCGGAAATCAGAGGCGTGGGCTGACGAGGGAAATCGCCACAATTTATGGGAATGATGATTTGAATGGAAGGGCGGCTGCTCAGGTATGAATCTCCCCCGCTGAAAGCTAGAAATGCATGGGCGCTCATCAATCTCCTTCGACGACCTTGGTGCGACTCCAGGTGACGTCCCAATCGACATTGAGAGACTCCGGAGCTATTCACAGCCGAATATCCGAAGCCGCTACAGGAGGAACAGTTCAACATTATGCATTTTTCGGGAGTTCCCGGAGACCCTCGAATTTGGAAACGCTCTGATACAGTCGATGAACAGCGCTTATCGTTCATAAGTCCGGCATTTCGTGACCCCGAATGAATTTCGATCCGCGATATCGTCGGCATATTCACGAAAACAGGATAATTATCCTTACAGACCCGGAGCACAAGACATTCTTTCCTCAGCCCGCTGCATCGGATTGCGCAATGCTACAGGAACGGCTCACCGATCCGATCGCCCCTGAGAGCGGGATCCTCCAACTCAAACGATCAACCTCCGAATTCATCCCCGCCGCGTTACTAGGACTTCCTGTGGTTCATTGCTCGATTGTTGCTTCAGGAGCCATGATGTTGATTTTACTGTTGATTTATCGGAATGTATATTTGTTGCGCTATATCGTCGGTATAGGAGCCATTGTGATGAATGTAAAAAAGTATACCCATGTACAAGTTTCGAGACAGCTGAAGCTTGGATGTCACGAATACACATTGTCTCTGACCAAGATCCGTGTCATGTCCCCCTCCCCGTCAGAGATATACCGCTGACTGAGCCATGCTCTGTTTGCCTTAATAAGAATTTATAGTTCACCGGACACGGGGCATACAAATATGCAAAATGAGCTCCGCACGTTGGGCCTGACGGAATTAGGGACACTTAAGCTCCGCGTAAAATGATCTCCGGCAAGGACCCCTATCCTGATTCCTTCGGGGGCAGGCCGGTCGATGGCGAGGAGTAGAATCGCTCTCTGAACTGAGGAGTCGACTCGAGGGGGCCCTTGTTGTTATCATCCGCTGTCTCCGGCTCGTCTGGCTCACTACCTTTCTGATTCTATCATACATTGAGCAGATATTATGATCTCACACAGCCTTTGGATATAAGCTCGCGAGTGCTGCATATTTTTCAATGTCTCAGAACGACCTTGGCTACGAATTTCCTACAAAACTTTCCGCCACGAACACTTAAGAAGGGACAATCCTGCTGCGGTGCGAAGAATACGAGCTTACGTGCGACGCCCGTCTTGAATGGGTCACGTGGTTCAAGACGCGCGAGCGTCCTTGTCACCACTCGTGTTATTCAAGTCATTACCGCGCGGTCTTGATCCTGGTGAGACCATCATATTGGCTCTGGACCCGTCCTTAATGTGTATTCACCAGAAGCAAGTCCCGCGAGAAAATGGAGCCCATAAGAATCGAATGGGGCAATCAGGGGAAAATTACGATTTCTCGACATGAAAAACTCAGTTGAAGCTGCTTGCTCTCTCTCTTCCACCGCGGTGTCTTTGAGATGAGATGAGCTCCTCGGTTGAGCTGAGAGGATCCTCGAGCGTCGGCTCGACATCAGACACCGGGCTTCCGATGTCAAAGCAGCAAGCAGCAACGTTCGGAATTCGATTGTTCGAGCGAAAAAAATTCTCGACTCGGTGGTCACCCGAGTGCGTCACGATGCAGGCAGCGGCGGCGACACCGTGTGGAAAGATATTCCATGACGGCTTCGTCGCCCTCACCATGAGCCCTCTCTTGTGGAATTGTGGAACGGCGCTTGGAGCCGCGTCAGTTGGGCAGAGCCGCATACAGTCATTGTGAAAGCTGGTGGACGTGAGGAACTGAACGGTTTGTAAACGGTGCGTGCTTCTCGCAGTGCTCTCAGCTTTATGGATTACTCTCGGATACGCAAACCCATTCTTTAAACAGAACAAACTCCTCAAGGTGAGAATCTCCCGTCGATTCCGCAGCGCAGAATCGTCGTATTGTCGGTCAGCCGTAGAACGAGCGGAAAGTTTGTTTATACGAGGATGATTCATTGAGCTTCTCCCTGTACCGGTGCACGCATCGGTCTTCCGTCAATCGTATTCGTCGTCGATGAACTGCTCTGCGAGACATGTTCTGCGGCGTGGAGTCGATCGATGTCGAGGAGACCTACGCCCAGCGTTTCCCGAAACACAGAAATCGGGTTCGGAACTTCGGCAACTGGAAGTTCTGGTACCCACAGAAAAAAATTCGGGAGTGCTCATCGGTTTGACTTCTTCGGGATGCCGAGGACTCGGTTTGAATTGCCGAACAAGTCATTCATTCAGTCAGTGTGCCGGTCGGACGGCTTTCCTTCGTCGATTGGCATCTAGCGTAACGGTCGAATCCGATGGTGTGGGATTTTTCCGCCCAGATTTCTCATGTAGGGAAATCATGGCAGACATAGTTCCTATCGACTCCGCTTTGTCTTCATTGTCCTGAGTAAAACTCTTTCCGTATTCGAAGAACGGCCATCTCTCGGTGAGCGAACACGCGAGTTCGTGAATAATCCCCCTCCCTCCCCGTGGAGCTTTGACAATCGAAGCCCCGGAATGATGAATGTTTCCACTCTGGATTCGTCAGCAGAGCACTCCCGATCGTTGATATGACGGCATTATTTCAACTTGATGATTTATTGTTCCCGAGAACGTTTTGGAGAATCGGACGTCTCGAAAATCGCGCGTCAGCTGAATTCCAGGGAGAGGGATACGATAACGAGCTTTGTGGCGTTTTTGTTGACATTTAGTGAGCAATCAGCATTCAACAATCCCGGGAAGTCAGGGCTTCCAGAAGGAAATACTCGATGTCAGAATGGAAGCTTTAGCCTGCCGATTCGATGCGAAAACCTGCGAATTCCCCAGCACTTATGATCACATTGGCAGCATCGGAAGTTATCGCGGGACTTTCTATTCGCGTCTCTCAGAGAACTACATCGAAGTCCTACTCAAACTAAGACTATGCTGGGCTTTGTGTATTTAGACACTCATCACGAATCTATTTTAAATGTGAGCGCTTGTTTTGTTTCACCGAAAGGCGACGATTCGAAAAAAAAAAACAGGAAGCGGTTCTTGGCGTTCGCCGGATCGGAAATGGAAAAACGACCCAACCCGTCCATGATAGGCCGACAACCATGGGCCCGGGTACTTTTTTGCTTCCGATAGTAAAAGGGTATCGGCATCTCATGCATCTAAAATGTTATTCAAATACCTCGGAACGATAGAGCTCAGCTTGGAGACCATGGAAGTTCAATGTGTGTGTGTGTGCGATGTGGTTCCTATGATAAACACGCTCCGCATCGAATGATTCTTCATTGCATGGGACATTGCCCGGCGGTATTGACGGGCTCTAGCGATGACCGCTGGCTGCAATGGGAATGCGGAAGATACGGTCGAAGCTCACGGCGAGTCATTCGCTATGAGCGTTGTTGGAACGGCGTCTGGAAATACGCTCGATGTCTTCTCACAAGAGCAATCGGCCGCGGGGAGCTTGTACTTGACGCCGAATACGACAAGCGACCGAACGGAGCTGTCGGAACGTCCTGAGAGAGTCTCTCTGTGTCCAGGCAGAGCTGATGCACGTTTCGAGACGAAGACGTCGACTCCGAGGTTTTCGATTCCGGAAAAATTCCGTCGTCGATCAACCGACATTGTCCGATCCATCCAGACACTTATCAACAACTTTAGAAAACTTCGGAGCAAAAACACACCGGCTCCGTAGATTCGACAGCTAGAGGTACAGTCCGATAATGCCTATTTTCGCACCGCCTCGGACCGGGTGTCGGCGAAGTTTTTTTCTCCCCCCGAATTCAAGTTGAGCTATCAGCAAAATCCTTCGGTTGAAAAAAAATCGGCCCCTAATGAGTGTTTCCTCAGAACCATCAGTCCAGAGCGCTGCGATTCTCTTCTGCCGAAGCTGCAAACAACCATGATCTTTGCAACCAGAATTTAGCTACGCGGAAGCCGGCCCGCCCGCCTGCCTGCTCATTCGCGAGCCGTTTCACCGGTCGCAGCGCTTGAACGAACACCGCCGATAACCTCATCTGGCGCAGCCAAAATAGTTGTTGGGAGTTTCACAGCCCTTACATTTTCGATGGAACCGCAAATCCAATCCGGCTAATCCACAACGCGCCAAGATCTGAGCCGGGCGATCCAGGGTCTTCCCATAGATCAAAGCAGAATGACATCGGAAACACGCCTAACTCCGGAAATGGGAGGGTCGATGGATACTTCGCAGCGGTTGTGGTCACAAGCGGGGAGATTCAGTGAATGTCCAGATATTTCAATGGCCATTTTCGTTTCTTCCGAAAAACCTCTCCGGAAGACCTTCGCAACCTTGGTGTCCGAGAATGATGACGACTGATGAATTACCAGGCGGGATAAATGTCTGGAGCGCCTCTAAACCTCCACGGGGGTCGTCTTCGGGCTTCGGGGAGAATCGCGGGAAACCTGAAATAACTAGGACTGATGACCCTCATGTCCAGTCCAGTCAGACAGAAAGATACTGAGGGGCTTTCTTGGAAAAAGTGACATCTTTCAATGAAACGTATCTATCTCCAGCTCCGACTTGAGCCTTGTCCGCGCATACTTCGAACGCTCCACGAGATATCGCGTGGCATACCGTGAGGTGGAAAAATCCGCCCGAATGACCCAGCGGACGGCTGAAGCTCTAGATCTTGAATGTCTGACAAATCTTCTTCCAAAACGACGACAAGGACCACGGCGACGACGACAGTGACTAACAACAACGACAGCAGCAGCACTAGAACGACCTTTAAACAATAACTGTTTTGTTCCATTGTTGCTCGTTGTCGACGACCGACGGACCGTCGAGACTATCGCTCGCTGCTGACTGAGGTTCGCAGCTCAAACCCCGTCTTCGAGTTTTTCGCTCTGGTAGCTTGATCTGGGAGGGCTAACACTTCGCAAAGTTCTGCCAGGTTCGGTGTTTCTGGAAGTTGGCCCGAAGTGACGGCTTAAAATATCCACAAAAAATGGCTAACCCGGGAGGACGGCGCGGCACTTGACGAGCCTGCTGGAGAAAAGTGGGTTTTGGATCGCTTCCTCGAGCCAATCGAGAGCTGAGATCGGCGGCTCGGAATTTCTCAATATCTTGTATGACAAGCTGAAAATCGCGAAACACTCATTTTTCGATGCTGGAAATCTTCTATATTTCCACCCGACGCGACGTCGCGTTGGAACGATCGCCGTTCAGGATAACGGACCCCGAAAACTCAACGGTGAATGGTCAGACCGTCGAATCAGATTTCTGGGACCCAGTTCCCGAACTAAAACTTAGTGGAAGGTATCCCTAGCCCGCGCTCGTAAACGACACTGCTTTCAGTTCCGAGGGAGCGCACCGACGAGCCGATCTGAAAATGAAGTTTTAGAAAAACCAAGTTTGGCAGCGGGTGGAAAGCTCGTAAAACTTGGATTCTCCCGTTAGCTGAGAAACGTGTGCAGCGGCAAGCCCATTCCCGAAGAGATTAAGAGCAAAGAACACGACGAAAACTTGTGAGATATTCCAGTTTCTGAGGGGTCGGCCGACTGACTGAATAAGTTGCCGGTCGGCCAGTCGGTCGGTCGGCAAGCAGGCAGGCAGGCGGCTGGTTTGTCTATTTGCTGGCCTGCCTCGGAGTTCCGCCGCTGTAGCTTCACAATGCCTCCACTGCCGAAGCCACGGCTGGTGCTGTTGATGGACGCGATCCACGCTTGACCCAAATACATTGATGGGCAGGCCAGCTGACCAGGAGAGTCGCAGCGACTCAATTTCCCCCTCCGCTCAACTACAGTGTTGACTGATCGGGGAACGGGTGGGAAAACCTTTCACGTTTTCCGACAGACACTGGAAGTTGTTCCCGAAAATCGTTGTCGAAGCTATCTGTTCCAAATCTTCTTTCTTGACTCGCCTCTGATGGTCCGGGCGCGTATTCTTCCATCCGCTGGTCTGTTGAGAGTCAGGGCGAACTGGTTCTCTTCATTAAGCAGACTCGCTGGGGTACGTTGGGATTTCAGCCTCCTTCTCAGTGATTCGCATCACTCCAGATAGTCCCAGTAGCCGGGAATCGAGGATTCGATCAAAACCTCTGAGGGTGCACTAGAAAGAAAGTCGCGCTTCGGAACATTCAGGAATCAATTTTCTCCCCAAACATCATTTGGAGCTGGACATCTGTAACACTCTGGAACTCATACCGTTCACGAAGCGAAGCGTATCACCTCGGTGATGCAGCCATTCGTCGCTCACGCGTTTGCGCTGGCTCTTCGCCAGCGACCACCGGTTCGACGGCTGAAGAGTTGTTGGCTCTAGAGAATGTTTCAGACTCGAAAACCGAGCTAGTGTCCGAGAAAATTGTTCAAAATCGGTTGCCTTGTGCATTTTTTGTCCTCCGTAAGCCTCAGATGCTCAAGCCGATCATAGCTCCCCGATCATATAAATGGTGAAAGTACCAGTTTTGGACCACTTGAGGAAATTCTCATAGACCCCCATCTTATTTGGGGGGTACCAGTTGTGGAACTCTCCACGGAAGTCTATGGGTAGCTCCGTGACCGGGACACGGAGCCCCATGTTAGAAGTATAGTTCCATAACTGAAACTTCCAACCCGGTACTTTTAATCGGTACTTTAACCGGTACTTATAAAAGGTACTTTTATTCTCCATGTCCTATGTTTGATCCCGCGTTCTCGACCAGCCCACGTAGGGCTCCCGAGAGGCAGTGGTGCCATGGGATTTCCCGAGATGCGATCGTTTGCTCGAAAATGAGGAAAACTCAAGCGATTCCAGAACTATCCATTACGTTCACCGCTCGTTATTCGGATGAATACCATCGAGCGTATGGGTTGCGCGGCAACTGAGTCGCGTTCGATGTGGGCATCCCACGGAGCGAAATAAATGCATGTATTCATTCTGACGGAAACAAACTATTG